GCCATTTGATGGGTAGATAAAATTGAAGCTAGACTCTAATGGAAATTTCAAACAATTCAAGTGAGGTTGAGGTGGAAAACTACATGAAAACTAAAGGTGGGAAAATTCATTCACCAGTACTCTATGTTGATATTCGCAAGCAGTGCATATTGTTGTTAGATACTAAAGAAAATTTTTTCATTAAATTTTGTTCTAAGGGAGTACTAGGCTTAATAAGTCATATATTGATATAAATTAAAGATAATCAATTATGATTTAGCTAACGAAAGCTTAATATTAGGTCAAACTAGAAAAGTGGGCGCGCCGTTGGCACGCCATGTTAAAAATTAATACTCCTATTTTGAATATGTTTATTTAGAGTATTTTTATGTGTAGGTAGACAAACTTTAGTAACTTGAAAATTGAAATTTAGACTATGAGCAGTCTCTCTCTTTTTTTTCTGGGTGTTTGTTCTTAGACACAAACAAATGCTATGGTCACAACCCTGAGTTAAAAAATAAGGCCTAGGTAAGTTGCTGGATAGTAAGAGCTAGCAATATTGCACTGTCATAAATATATAGTATATTTTAAACCTTGAATTATATTATGGTATCTTGTACTACTACATAACACAATATAAGTGTATAGGTATAAGCATTACTACTAACACTATATTAGATGTACGCAAGAGATCTTGTACTACTACATAACACAATATAAGTGTATAGGTATAAGCATTACTACTAACACTATATTAGATGTATGCAATAGACATCATACTGATACTGATGTGCTACCCTGATTTCTAGTCATATTTTGGAATGGAGGGTGTAGATTCTTTCTAGAAGTAAAAATCATTGAAGAGACTTGCTAATAGGGGTTGTTTGGAACTCTTTTTATTGTCAGCTTGTCACAGTAGATGGTATTTTCACAAACTCCGATTCAGACGAATGTTATTTCGCAAGTACTATTTGAAGACTGAACTTTTAGCGAGCTTATGCAGACAAGTGAACGAACTAAAAACACTGCAACCATTATACCATTACATATGGTACTACATTAGGAGTATTTTCTAGCAGCAATTGATATGCTTTCTTGGGACAGTTTGTACAAATGCCAACTACAAAACTTCCTGCATTTTCATTATGATAACAATAAATACTCAACTTTCTTGGGACAGTTTCTGCAAATGCCAACTACAAAACTTCATGCATTTTCATTATGACAACAATAAATACTCAGCCACACCATTTGCATATCATTCTCTAGCATAGGATTAGGGGCTAGCAACAAAATTGACCAACGCACACCCAAGTATATACAATGGATTTGGGAGTGGCTTCAACTACACCACTCCCATTCATATGGGCACTTTTCTCAAGCTCAAATGTCAGCCACAGCCACTCTCCAAGAGTCTGAATGGCAACACTAACTCCTTTATAAATGATAGACTGGGGACTATAATCAATTTATACATCACGAAAGCAGTCCTAGGCCCTAGCTAGAGTCTTGTAAAGCATGAGCTCAGCTCATCTCAGAAAATGGAAGCCCGCAAGACTTATTCGGCCTGTGCTTGTTTGCAGGATAAGCAGACAAGCAGTACCCACTGTTGAATCTGCGGCCTCACAGAAAGTAATCTGGAGCTGGCCTCTTTGCAGGAACCCCTCTTGATTCCTGAATGCACATATAGGAAAATTAGATGCTAATCAATAATGTGTCACAGACGTAATGATCAAAGTGGCTAACACATATATGTGGGGCAGCTTCAAATACACAGAAACTCCCGGTTGCTCATTCATTTACTCACTATAATTCTTAAGGCTCTAAATATCAAACACTCGTAGCAAGAGATATAAGAACAAAAAATGGAGGGTATATGAAATTTCTTCTTGATGAAAACACCAGAACCAATTAATTCTTATGATCTACTCCCTCCGTTCCATAATATAAGGGATTTTAAGTTTTTACTTGCAACGTTTGACCACTCGTCTTATTCAAATTATTTTTGCAAATATAAAAAACGAAAAGTTATGCTTAAAGTACTGTAGATAATATAGTAAGTCACAAATAAAATAAATAATAATTTCAAAAAATTTTGAATAAGACGAGTGGTCAAACGTTGCAAGCAAAAACTTAAAATCCCTTATATTATGGGACGGAGGGAGTACTATACAAGTTAGAGATTTATCTTAAGTAAAAAAATTGAAGATTCATGACCAATTGCCAAGACAATCTGAAGACAGCTCTAGCTAATTGTATATATTTCTGCGAGTCCACATTATTAATGTCCAATAAGCTAGATGATATAATTTCAGTAAACTCCAAGAAACATTTACCAGCTATATAGATCACCAGGACAAAGCCTCATGTTTGGCAAGGAAGGTTAAAGAACAAGCCAAATACAGTTCGATACATAATTACTAAGTTTTTTCAAGAAGAAACTGTATGCACTCAACAAGTAACATCCTATACCCATCCGATGCAACTTTAATCACTTTAAGTAGGCCCATGTTGTGATAACCACTGGATAATGCAATCAATAGCTCATACAAGACAAAATACCTAGAACACATCAATTTCACAGGAATTGCATAAAAATTATTATACACCACAGCCTGAAGCAAATCACGTCAATGATTCTATCATAATATAGGTGTTGCAGTAAAGAGGTTGGGGAGTTCAGAAATAATCATTAAATCGTGGTCCCGGTAGTCACAGTGGCGGTGGCCAGTCGCTGCGTTCATGCTCTCGCTTGAGAGCCCTCACCATCGTTCCTCTCTCAGACTGAGGGAGACTGCGATCTTCAGTCTGCAACTGTTTCTTTGTTCCTCTCTCCCTGCAACTGTATCACCTGGGCAGTGGCGAAGGTGAGGAGGACGGCGGGCAGGCTGAGGGAGACCATGGTGAGGAGGCGGTGGACTGCGGCAGGCCAGCAGCAGTATGAAGAGGCGGAGGTGGCGAGCTTGCTACGGAGGCGGAGGCGCGGAGCGGCGGGGAACTGGAGTAGATTGGCGGCGGTGACACAGTTGAGGAGAAGAAACGGCGGCGGCGACTGCCGAGGCGAGAGAGGAGGGGGTTTTAGCGATTTTTCAAACAAACCCCAAAAGCTTCACATACTACAACGACATCCACCACAACGATCCCTGACCATTAATCCTCCATCCAACGGCTGCAAGAGGGGGACGAATGCTGCAATCTCGCCGTGCCACGTGGAGGGGCTATTTGCACGGGAATCCGCCTAGATTTCAATATTTAGAGATTTGGATGCATACAGATTTGACATACATTATTTACTTGGAATCTTGGTAGTATTTAATTAAATCCAGACTGGTGAGGTAACATGCTCATTTTTTTCAAAGTTTTAATGGTCTCTGAAGTTTAGTCATTTAGACACTTATTTGTAAAATGTGTAGATATTTATAAAGATTATTAAGTTTAAGTTATGTCCACATATAGGGGAGCAATAACCATGGAAAAACTCCAAAATAATCTTACTGCATAGTTAACGATGCAATTTGATTTCGTAGCATATTATGATTAATCATATATTTAAGAATATTTCCTAAAGCTAAGAGTGGTAAATAGCACTCATAAACCACTCATAATTATACTGCGCTATGAACTGAGCACCAATAAAACGCAGTTTTCTATTCTTGTAACAACGTGTTGTATGTTTTCTGCCGAACACATTGATAAGGTTGTGAAAGATATCCCAGGATCGAATTATTAAGCTGAGCTTTTACTCATGGATCCATGTTTTAAATGATCATAAACTAAGTTTATTTTAGATATGTTATGACCAATACATATGTAAATTAGAGCCTTAACTAATATCCTGGATAAGGAGAACTTAAATTTATCAATCAACACCCGCTAAGTTAAGCTTGAGTTTATTTGAGTAATATAGAGAAATATAGGTTTTTGTTGTCTCAGTGACGTTTGTTGCAACACATTGCCTTGGAAGCTATTTTTTTAGTTGACTTGTCCGTTAATCTTAAAATCAAGAGAAGAATGTTGGTTGAATTTATCGACTAGTGTCACTGTATATGAGAAAGAGGAGAAGTGGCAGCGAGGCAATAAGTAGCATATAGTGAGTTGGTAGCAGATTGATGTTTGGGTAGCGGATTGCGGATAGCGGGCGCGATTGCAGATGCTAAGTTCCAATAGCAAAATTAAGAAAAATAACTATAAATTTAGATTGTATATCAATATTAACATCAAGTCCAAGTTAAAATTTAAATTTAGACTACATGTTTAATTACTCCAACATTTGATAACATAAAAATTATGAAATAACATATAAATATATAAGACAAATAAGACACCGACACTTATTCTATCCATATATGAAGCACACCATTTAAACATTATAGCGATCTAACAAAGTTAATAAACATTATAGCGATCTAACAAAGTTAATAAACATTATAGCGATCTAACAAAGTTAATATATAGCGGGCTACTATAGCGGTCGCGAAGCGATATAATGGCCACTAAGTTCCAATACGCATATCCGCTACTTGTAGTGGTAGAGATCCGGTACCGCTATAGCGGCCGCTATAAACACTATTATTACCTTAAGTGGCAGGGGTGACGTCGAACCTCTCTCTAATCCTAAAACCTTAATACAATCACCCCATCGATCTCTAATCCTAAAATCTTAATACAAATATACAATCACCCCATCGATCTAGGTACTGGACGAGGTTTGTGAGCCATATCTCTTGTGTGTTTTTTCCTTAACAAATAAGAAGAAAGAAAAAAAATCGAAGGAACAAAAGCAAAACCAAACATCGACTTCAATGGCTTCATCTTTCATCTCTGATAAGTTAGAACCAATTTCCGCATTAAGCATTGGTGAATGGTGATCATGTTTAGGTTATAGGTTAAGAACAATTAAGTGGATTAAACTCACCTAGGGTTATTGTCGCCCGTGTTGTCAATGTGTTTTTTTCCTAACAATTATTATAAGCAAATCTTAGTATTAATAGCATCGCCGTGCCCACTAATTCTTTTAAGTATATATAGACTCATCTGTATGAACTTGATTTCTTTCTCCTGATAGAAAATCGATACAGTACTCTAGTCCCAACAAAAGAAAAGAAAAGAAAAGAAAAAAATCACATTGACAAGCTAAGATCGAGATTAGGCGCGCTGTCCACCTTCTTCTCCGGTTGGACTACTTGGCTTCCCTTCAACTCGAACGCGAAGTCCTCCATTACAAACGTCGGCCGCCACAGCTGCTGGCGATCCTGCTTCTTCTGGCCACCATCCACGCTCGTCCGCTTGGTCGCGACACAATCACCGTTCCGCCGCCACAGCTCCCTCATCTCCCTGACCTCGTCGAGCAGCGCGTAGAACCTGTCCACGTCTTCGTCCCGCGCCTCCTCTTCGTGGCCATGGCCACCCCCCTCCGGTAGCGGCGCCGGCGCCGCCTTGATGTTACCCGACGGCGGCGTTGGCGGCGGCCGGTCCCTCTTCCTAGACCTCCGGTGCCGCGGCTGCAGGTGCTCCTGCTCCGTCACGATCATCTCCGCCGCGGTGCTGCTGTTGCGTGGAAAAGGGGAAGTACCCGAAATAGTATGTGGAGTGGGCATCGTGGGATCCATGAGACCTTGAGTTGAGAGCGAGGCGCGCGTTAAATAGGACAAAGCTTCGCTAGCTATCCCTCCCTTCCTGCGTGCGGAACGAGTTTGCGTCACCGCTTTGCCGCTTTGGGCGGGCGAGCAAGCAAGTGCGGCACCGACCGATGGTGGTGGGCGCGCGTGCACCGTGCGCGATGCGGTGCGGTTGGCCTATTTTTATCATTATCTTTTTGCGTCGGATGCTCGGAAGGGGGGGGGGGGGGGGGGGACCTCCTTACGTACGCTGTTACGTTGGCTTTCCTGTAAGCGGCTTACGGAAGCAACGTCGTCCGGTCTGACTCCCCCCCCCCCCTCGCCCGTCGGTGTTAACTGTACGGTGTCGATCGACATCGATGTCGGGGATGCTTACCTGCCCGCTGACTACCATGCGCCGTTGGATAGGTCTCGGTGCTCACATGGTTTTTTTTATCCCTTGTACTGCTCACATGATCTTTTTTCGCTTTTTAACTATACAAGATGGCGTGATCCACAGCTAGCTTGGTTTGGGACCTTTAATTTGTATATAATAGAAAATGTTAGTCACTCCGTTTTATATTATAAATTATTTTTATTTTTTTCCTAGTTAAACTTTTGTTAAGTTTGTCTAAGTTTAAAAAAAATTGGTAATATTTTAAAAAACAAATTAGTTTCATTAAATCTAGCATTCAATATATTTTGATAATGTATTTTAATAATATGTTTGTTTTGTGCTAAAAATACTACTATATTTTTCTATAAATTTAAGTTAAACATAAAGAAATTTTTCCCGCAAAAAAATAAAGAAATTTAACAAGAAAAAAAAGTGAAAAACGAATATGAAAAAAAGAGGAACAGAGAATAAACGTTGAATCGAGATTACGCAGTGGGCCAGGGGCAGAATTTGTGAGCCCGTAAAATGTATAGTCGTCAATCGCGTACGCGGTGGCCGGGTTCGATCGCGCGCCGGCTTAAACTCGCAACTGACGGGCAAGATCCTACTGCGGTGAGCCGGGGGGCGGCAGCGCGCCACGCGCGCGGGTCTCGTGGGCCTCGTGGCGTGGGGGCGTGACACATGCGGCCTGACGTACGTCCGGCACCAGCGTGCAAGACGTGTGCATCGTACTGAAGGTTGTCGACTTGTAGTTGCCCACGTCTATGCTTTCGGCGTGCTGCAGAATTGAGAATGTCAAATACTCGTCTTTTCAAGCTGTAGTAGTAATTATTCGCTGTTAACGTCACATCTAAAAACAGAACTGTCAATGAGAGATAAAAAAAAACTATTCCCTTCGTCCGACGAGGGCCCCTTTGATTTGGAGAAAAAATGTAGAAATTTTGGAGGATTTTAACCCAATAGAAAAAAAATCCTATGAAGGCCTTAGAAAAATCATATCTAATCCTTTAAAATTCCTATGAAACGGGTAATCCTATACACATTTTGAAGAAAAGTTAGCAAGAGGTCTAACCTCTTGGAACATTTCCTCTGAGTCTATCTGTCTCATCTGATTCCTGTGTTTTTCCTATGGTCCAATCAAACGGCCATTCCTGTGTTTTTCCTGTGTTTTGCAATCCTCTGTCTTACAATTGTATTCCTGTCAGAATCCTGTGTTTTTCCTATTCCTTCGTTTTTTCATTCCTACGATTTAAAGGGGCCCTAAAAAGTAAATCTAGGACTACGATATATACTAGTACTATGAATCTGTATGTCCAGATTCATATTAATAGGATGTGTCACATCCAGTACTAGATTGGTTTTTATAGGATGGAGGTAGTACGAATTTACCTATGCACTTATCTATATATTAGGCTGTGTTCTTCTTGCTAGCTTTCCCAACTTAACTCCCTCATTTTCTACGCGCACGTTTTCCAAACTGCTAACTACTCTCTTCATCCTATAAAAAATAAATCTAGGACTATGACATATATATATACTAGTTCTATGAATCTGTATGTCTATATTCATATTAATAGGATGTGTCACATTCAATACTAGGTTGGTTTTTATAGGATCGAGGTATCACGAATTACCTATGCACTTATCTGTGTTCTTTTTGCTAGCTTTCCCAACTTAACTCCCTCATTTTCTGCGCGTATGTTTTCTAAACTGCTAAACATGGTGATTTTTGTAAAAATTTTCTATACGAAAGTTGCTTTAAAAAATCACATTAATCTATTTTTTTACAAAAATTGCTAATACTTAATTAATCATGCGTTAATGAGTCATTCCGTTTTGCTTGTGAGAAGGATTAGTTTCCAACTCACTCCAAAGAAAACAGCTTAGTGTAATATAAATTAAAATTTTTATTCGATGAAAATAATATGATTGAATTTGCTTTTAACTTATTTTCATATGATTGCCCTTTTATTGCTAATTTTGGAAGACTATGCTAATTTGACTATGCGTGTGAGAAAGTAAAGTTGAAAGACTATTGAGAAAGTAAAGTTGAAAGACTAATTCTGGAGACTATGCTAATTTAACTGTACCTTATATGGTTGGTTAGAGGGAAGACAAATTTGGTCTCACATTGTAGAACAGGTAGTACAAACATCTTTAAAAGCTCGATCCGGATAGAGTTTCTTATATGTCAATTTTAATATAACATATTTATTAGCCCTAGGAGAAAACCAAAAGTTGTATAGGCTTTATTAGGGCAGTCCCAACCCTCCACCTAGGATGGTGTCTATGGCATTAACTACATTGCTATGTAGGACTTTTAACTTACGTGGCACTATATTAATTAAGAGAGAGAGTGAATAGAGGAAGAAACTGGGTCTCATGCAAGACAAAGCTTCAACACGAGAACCTAGACACTATCAAGTTTTGCATTGGGAGAGAATAGTGTCTTCATAATAGATGAAGAATAAATATGATTAGTAGAGAAGAGAGATGATGTATTTATTAATAGCCTACTTTAAAAAACTATGGGTTGTGGAGTGTAGTTTCTATTGTGATGTTTTATTGACATGACACCTTAGACACTACTTATGCACACTATGGGTTGAGACTACCCTTATTACTCCACTCCATCAATCTTTAATTGGTATCTCCCCATGAACCATTCAAACTATTTTCATGACATCATTCAAGATTGTTAAGAACCCTACTTGTATTTATTAGCTACTCATTTGGCCCACCTTCTTATTTGTGCATTTTTGCAAACGAAAAGGTGGTTATATCAAGGTTGAAAGCCCAGCTCAGTTTTTGCTGCTGACAAGGTCCCTGAACCAGTAGGCCGACATCTTGGGGTACCTCCTGAGGGTCCTGAAATCCACGTACACCAGGCCGAACCTCGACGTGTACCCGAGTTTCCACTCGAAGTTATCCAGCAGGGACCAGGCGAAGTAGCCTATGCAGTTGGCGCCGTCGTCGATCGCCTCCTTCAGCTTGGTGATGTAGCTCCTGTAGTAGGCGACCCTCGTGGTGTCATGCACCCCCTGAGCAATGGTCACATTGCCAGGATCATCCATGCCTGAAAACCGAATTATGTTTTGTTGTGCTGTTCTTAGTGATCACAAAACAATGTGAATGAAAAAGGAAGTTACAAGGAAAAAAGATGTACCATTTTCAGATAGAAACATTGTGGGGTTACCATACTTCTCCTTGACATAGGTGACAGCTTTGTACAAACCCCACGGTACAATGTAAAGCCAGTCAGAATTCGCCTACAAGACCAAATGGTTTTCAGCGATGCACACAACTGAAGTACTAATCGATATATGATTCGTATCAGCGGTAGAAATAACCAACAGATGGCGTACCCTTGGTCCAATTGGCACGCCATCGCGTTCATCTGCAGCACCAAGAGAGGCAAAGGATATCAGGAAATTAATTGTCATCACAATGGAACTTTCATTATTTAGAGACCAAACCCTTAATTTTCAGTCTTGGGGACCACTGAAGCATAACAGTTTATTAGGTAGTTAAGTTTTTTTTTTTGAGAGAATTAGGTAGTTAAGTTAAGTTGAAGAGATGACTCACAAATAGGTGCAGCATGCCAGTCAGACGAGTAACTAGGGAGAGTCGTGGCGTTCGGCTGCTGATCACGGACATAATAAGCAGTATACTGATTAATGCCAACATAGTCGATTGATCCCTTCACCATGTGGACCTCATCGGCCGTGAACTTCGGAAGCCGTTCTTTGACAATCACTTGCAGCGATTTAGGGTATTCACCATAGATGATTGGGTGAAGAAACCTACAAAGGTCAATCAACTTGTTTCAGATATGTGCGTAGGGATTTTGTATTTTTGTTGTGTAACGTGGTGTGATCTGTATATATCTCATCAGTTATAAAGTCTAAACAGCCTTAATATCTTGCCATCTAGGAGCAACATACTCCGGCAGTTTGCGGATTCTTGGCTTGAATAAAGAAAATAAGAAAAAGGTTAAGAAGAAGCAGAAATGAATTTGAAGCAAAAATACCATCCAACGTGGAAGTCTCTTGATCTTTGAGCCGCAGCTTGGTCTGCCGTTGAATTGGTAAGACCTTCATACCAGACAAAATCCAGAAGAATTCCAATCTTCCCCTTTTGTATATGCTGAAAAGTTTGTTAAGCATTTTTAGGACTATTTCTGAATTTCATGCTACTATTTGTTTTATGGGCTAACTGGATCCATGTCACTATAAATGCGCTATATTAGAAAAATGTCATTATTATTTGTGATATCAGCTGGGTGCTACCGAAGCTTTATAAAATTAAAACCATGCCATCATCATCACGTATTATGTCATCACATAGACCAAAATACCCTTACACGTGAAACCCACATGTCAGTTCTATCTTCTTCCACCACCCAGGCCTGACTCTTGGGCGGGGCAAAGAGGGCGATGGCCTAGGCCCCGTCCTGGCTAGGGGCCTATGCCTAAATATACATGAGTACTATATGAGCCAAAGTGGTATTTAAGATTAGTGAATAATTCCGTACTATCTACTACTCCTTGTTATCTACATAATACTAATTAGTGAATTAATAAAGATTCTAGATTCAACAATCAAAATTGTATGTATAGATAGATTCTTGTTGATAATATATATTTTCATAATTTTAGGTGCTGAAAAGTTGTAATTTTACTTAAGAAGCATTTTTATGGTGCTAAGTAAATGGGAAAAATAAACAAGATCAGTTTAAGTGTTGATATTTTTCTATTTCTAAGAATATATATATGAAATGTTATGAATGATTATTTCTCTCTAAGATTAGATTTGAAAACACACTTTGAAAATGAAGAAGTTGTTCAGATTGTAGCCAAAATAAATCTTACCAAATTTTGGCAATTTAGCAATATTGCCAAGTTTTGACGGGATTTCTTATGTATTTACTATAGTTTGGTAAAAACTAAATGAATACATCTTTAATAACTTTACCAAAAAATTGATATGGCTTGAAATGACATCAATCTGAACAACCCTAAAAAATGTGAATATACATATAACACATCTCTCTATAGGGGAGAGATTGATGGTTAAGGGTCATGTTGTCAAGTTTGCCCTAGGGCCCTCAAAATTGTAGAGCCAGCCCTGCCTCCACCCTCTCCTCTTCTGTCCTCCCACCACCCACATTCCCCAGTCGTCCTCATGGAGCACGCGGCTGGGGAGCACACATGGTCCATCCTCGCCGAGCGTGAGAGTGGGCGGCCTCCCTATCCCTAAAGCTCGCTGAGGAGGACAAGAAAAGAAGAGAAGGAAGAAGATGGAGGAAAGAAAAGAACATGACAACAAACATAACGGTAGTAGTATGATTTTAATTTTATAAAATTTTAGTTGCACCTAACTAAAATTGCAAATAGTAATAATATTTTTCTAATATGGCATATTTGTAATGGTATGGATCCAATTTACCCTAGTTTTATATCTCTAGTGGTACACTTTTACATATGTAAAGAGCTAACAAAATGGTCACTTGTTTTCTCATAATTTTTTTAAAATCACCCATAAAAAGACCACAAACCGGTGACTGTTTTTACCTGATACTTGTGCCGGTATCTCTGAACAGCAGAAGCATGGGAAAGAATGAGGTGATGGGCAACAATGTAAGGCTCGGTGGCAGAGTTTCCAGCCGTGCATTTTGTGCACCTTCCTGGAGCAAAATTTCCATCATCGTATCCTAGAGCGGCAACAACTCTCGGTTCGTTAAATGTCATCCAGTTCTTCACTCTGTCGCCAAATGTCTTGAAGCAAAACTCAGCGTAGTCTGCGAATGCTTCCCTGCGTGATTCAAAAACAAACCAGTAGATACATATATTGGATCATCTTGATCTACAGTTTCAGGAATGCACAATCTGCTGCTGCATGGTGATTGTTAAAAAAACAATGTATGAGAAAAAAATTATTGAGAGTTGCCATTGGAACTCCTGTACTTTGCAGGATTTTGAGCGGCAGTTGTATCTGATCTTTTGCTAGTATGAATATATACCACAAGGATCTGCAATTCCGATGATAGTAACTTCATTTTTCTATAAAATTCAAATATTGATAAAAAAAATTATGGTGAACTATCCCGTTGGTTCCAATGAGTGTCTAAAAATTGTTCAGAAAAACGAACGTACTGCTGCATAGCTTGAGAAGAGAACAGTCACATGTCAATGTATAAGTATTTGGATCAACCTTAGTCTTGAATCTAACAAAGCAATACTTACACTATTTTTCTGTTCAACAGTCCTCCATATTGCACCTCTAGTGCCTCTGGTAAGTCATAGTGATACAAATTGGCATAAGGTGTAATGCCTGTTAAGCAGCAGAGCAACGTTCAGCTTTAGAATTGAAACATGTGCCACGTATCAGATGATTTTCATTTTCATTTTTATTTTTTTGCGGGTGAATATCAAATGAAACATTAACAGTACGTGGCATACCTATCTTCAGCATATAGTTTATCAATCTGTTATAGTATGCCACACCTTTCCAATTTACTTTCCCAGTTCCAGCTAGGACAGTGAACACCCATCCAAGAGAAATATAAGTTAGTTTGCATCACTTTCAGAAATCAAGTCCAAAATAATAAAATTGTACTCGTAGATTAAGACGAGCAACTTAAGGGAGCTTACTTGGGAATATTCTTGACCATGAGATTGAGAAGCGGTACGCATCGAAACCCATACTTTTCATGATGTTTACGTCCTCCTGCAAGAGCAAAGCCAAGTTTAATTCTCTGCTCTCAGGTCATCTGTTTTATTCTATAGTTCCCGGAATCAGGAGTACAAGCGAATGAATAAATTCCATGCTTGTCTGATAGACCAATTATTAGGTACCACTTCTAAAAAACGATTTTTCCGGACACATTGGTTTCATTTTTTCAGTTGGATCTAAAGAATTTCACTTCTAAAAATAATGAGAGGCCTGAAGATTTAACCCCGCTAGTAAAAGTTGACTTTTAAAAGGCGGGGTTTAAAAACGACTGCCATGAAAAATACCCTTATTTTCGCTGACAATACTCTTTATAACACGCATGTGAAAATTAAAAAATCCATCTGCAAAAGAGCAGGAATGCTATTAAATAACAGCAACGACAGTAGAGGGGACAACAGTAATGTCTCTCCCACTCACCTCCCTCTACTCGATCTGGTCGGCGGGTGGTGGCGACGGAAGCAGTTGAGGGGTGGCTCCGACAGCGGCTCCAGGTGCCTATTTTCTAAAATTTTTATGATTTTTCGCCTAAAATAATCACAGCAGGCGGTCTTCTTAACATGGTCACATGTGAAAATCGATTTTTCATAGGTGTTCTACTTAAGAGACCAGCATGTAAAATTCAATTCACGTGCGGTTTGTGCAGCCAGTAGTGAAAATTTATCGTTACTAGTGGTTGCTCTAATCTCTTGCGAAAAATGAAATTGACCGCCAGCGATTGCTTGTTTTGTCGTAGTGTACTAAGTGCAAGGGGTAGTGTAGTGATAAGCAAACCTTATATAAGGAAAAGCATAAGATTATGTTCCTAAATGTACAATCAGCATGACAACAGACCAAAATTTCCAAATCTACAATTGATGTTTGATTTATACAAGATAAGTTTCGGTTCAGTTTGACTTTGCGTTGTTCTTCTAGCAAATCATGCAAAAGTTGAATATGTTCATAATTAAAGCAAGCCTTTCAAACCTTAATATAAGAGAAATTTCAAGCATGAAACAAAAGTCGCATACCAAATTTATGAAATGTCAAATAAGCCAGATAATACTATAATTTCTCACCATGATGAAAAAGGTACGGTGTATATATGATGTATGCTTAATACTATGGAATATAGGTGAGATTGAACTTTCTTTTGGAAAACAATGTGGTTGAATGTTTATTGTGAAAAATAATCATAAAACATTTAGATCGGTTAGAATCATAAAGAGAATCATAGAAACAGAAAATAAGTTGCACGTCATCTCAAAGGAAAACGTGTATACTGTGGTGTTTTCAGCTATCTGTTTTTACTTTTCCCTGAATGGTACGAATCTGTTATCGTTGAAATCATGACGTGTGTGTAGCCCTTCTACCTTGCCATCCAGGATACCGTACTCTTCACAAGAGATTCTTTTGATCACTATGAAGTAGTCCATTACAAAAAAAGATAGAACACCCACAAAAATATCAAGAGCGAGAAATGCATTTTGTCGGTGATATGGGCCCGGGGGTATCAGGTTTAGAGGGAGGAGGCTGCCCCCTGATGCCACGTGGCCCTCCCCCGAGGGGAGTCAGGCCTGAGGTAGGGTGGCGGCCACTCCTTCCCCAAAGACTAGTCGGAGGAGGCTGCCCCCCGATGCCACGTGGCCCTCCCCCGAGGGGAGTCAGGCCCGAGGTAGGACGGCGGCCACTCCTTCCCAGAGACTGGATGGAGGAGGCTACCCTCCAATGCCACGTGGCCCTTCCCCGAGGGGGGTCGGGCTCGAGGTAGGGCGGCGGCCACTCCCTGGCTGAGACTAGAGGGAGAAGGCCGCCCCAGGCGCCAAGTGGCTCCCCCCTGAGGGGGGATCGGGCCCGAGGTCGGGCGGCGGCCGCCCCCTCCCGTGACTAGGGGTCGGGCTCCCCCGACCCCCTCTCTAGGTCACCACGTATGGTGGGTTAGGTGTCCGCCTCCAGGTGCCCACCTACCCGCATTTATGGCGTCCCGAGTGGTGCGGCGTGCAGTGCACTCAACCGGTCTGTGACCAGTCGAATGACCGATGGGACTGGCTAGTGCGCCTGTGCGCTGCTCGTGTGTCAGGCGGCGTGCAGCCTGACATGTCCCATCAAATAGTGATGGTGAGAGGTTCTCATCCTCTTATCCCAGCCGGAGTCGGTCCTCCCGCTCTGGTCAAAGCAAGGCTCCCGTTTCCCGGTGTAATAGGAGCCCAGAAGTCTTCACCCATTAAATGGTGACTGACAGGGGCAACCCCCCGTGTCAGGTGGCAAGATTTGACAGGCCCCATCATCAAGACGACGTGTGCTTGGCTTCCCAAGTCAAGAGACAAGACATACATTTAATGCAAAGATTATAATACTTCTCCACCGGAGCTAGGTTAGGTTGTTGGGCCCATGTGGTAACCCCTTGAGGTATAAAAGGAGGTCCAGGCCTAGTGGTGGGGGGGGGGGACTTCCGAGCGAACTGGCGCTTGGGTCTCGCAACCCCAAGCACTTGTGTTCTACATTCAATCAATCATGCACAGGAGTAGAGTATTACGCTTCTTAGCGGCCCGAACCTGTATAAACCTCTTTTGTCTCATCGTCTTAGAGGGGCCTAACTCCCTCAGGATCACACAGCTCCGCTCATCAAGCCCTCGAATCTCACCCGCTGCCCCCGGCCGAACTCACAATGGGGGGCCTTACAGTTCCCTGGTGGAGGAGTTCATTCTCCGACACATTTGTAGTTTGAAATCCTCCATTGCCAGCCCCCCTAGCTTCTTCAGCTTGTTCCAAAAGCCAGAAGCTTAAAAAGAAGCCCAAATTATTGTACAATCTCAAGAAGCTAGTCTTGGAAATGAACCCTATTGTTCACTCCGTCTCATTTTAAGTGCAGCCATGAGTTTCCGAATCCAACTTTAACCGTTTGTTTTATTTGAAATTTTTTTTGAAAAGAAATAAAAAACATAAATCACGCAAAGCACTATTCATGTTTCATCATCTGATAATAATAAAAATATTAATCATAATTTTTTTTAAATAAGACGGACGATAAAAGTTAGACACGAAAACTCATGCTGCATTTAAAATGGGGCGAAAGGAGTATAAAATAGGAATGATGTTTTGGACTTTTCAAAGTCAACAAGCTAGGTACAACTTTGACTATTTAACTCTTTTGCATAAATAAGAAAAAAAAAGTTATAAAGGTGTGATAACTAATTTGAAAGTTTTTGTTACGACGCACTTGGCTTTAAACAATACTTCGTTGTTAAAATTAACTTTTCTTGACCGCCCGGATACCATAACATTATTCTTTTGTGACTGGAGGTAAGCATTTTACCTTGTAGCGATGGTACTCATCAACAGTAACATCTGCCGTAGCATTATTTGCTATTTCACCTGGTCAGAAAAATAAGCAAACTCTAGTCAGTCTTTACACCACGACTCACAAGGTCGCATGTACACGTATATAGGATTAGAGGCGCTCTTTGCTCTGTTGTTCTTCGATCGTTCTCCCTTTTTCTGAACAAAAAGAAATGTTATACGTGTTCTAACACTAAGCATGATTCATGTACTTAAGGGTAATTCAATACGGTTCAGTCTGTCCTATTTATAGGGCAGAAATGTCATAATACCAGTGTTATATGCCTTCTACACCTTTTATTTTAAAAGAACCACACGTTCCGTTCCCTTTGTTTCATATTACAGCTTTATAAGTCCCTTGTAAGTCAAATCTCTTTTCAAATATGATTAATTTTATAAAAAGATAGCAACGTCTATAACACCAAATTAGTTTTATTATATTCATTGTGGAATATGTTTATAGTATATTTACCATGTGTTGAAAATATCGATATATTTTTTTATATAAATTTGGTTAAACTAGAATAGATTTGACTTCAACAAATTTAAAATAACTTATAATACAAAAATAATATAAAACAGAGGGAGTTTTTAACTTGTTTGTTCTAAGCTCTGTAATCAGTTTTGATAACAGAACTGTTGCCACTGTACATATATCCTTGTGAGTGAAGTGAAGATGATCCTAAATTTAACGTAGGGGGCTCCTGCATATATGCAGCTTAGAGCTTGTTTAGAGCTTGTTTAGAGCTTGTTTATTTTGAATGCCAAAATTTTGGCAAGATATTAACGTTGTCAAAATTTTAGCAGAATTTCTCATATATTAACCAAATTTACCAACAAAGTAAATATAGATTTTTTTTTGATAAAAATAGCATCAAAATGAACGGTTCCTTAATTTGCTCACCGGGAGTCTTGACGAAGGCGTCCCAAATGCTAGGGCCGCGGCCATCCTTGAGCGCCATGCCCTCCACCTGGTACGCCGACGCCGCCGTCCCGAACACGAACCCCGCCGGGAAGCTCCGCCGGCTCAGCCCGCCCGTGATCCCGGCCGCCTCCTGATGATCGGCGCCGGCGCCGCCGCGAATGCCGTCTTCGCCCGCAGCTTGCTCCGCCGCGCGCGCGGCTCCAGCTACTAATAAGGCCAGCAGAAGCACAACGACGAGGCGGTGGCCCATGGTTAACTGCTCTGCCGCACTGTGACCGCCGGAGACCGGAGTGCCGGTGCTGCACGGTGTGCGCGCGGCGCCCGCCGGCTAACTAGCTAGAGAAGAAGAAGAAGAGGAGGAGCGAGCGCGAGTGCTCGCTGTGTGGGCCTGTGGCGTAGACGTAGTATAATGGATAGCTCAGCTGTTTTCGGCCATTATAGGGGGCCATACGCGCGTTAGACGGAGATGGTTGTCAGCACCCGGCGCCCTCAGTTTGTACCATATGTAGCGTGGGCCGGACGGGGACGAAGCTACCGTAGCCAGCGGTGCACGCGTCAGGGCAAAACGGGTAACGACGCGCGCAAGTACTGCTTAGCTGCTGCCTGCCTTCCTCTCGTCGTCACGCGCGCGCCACTCATACATGCCGCTTATAGTCTCTTTCTTTTCTTTTTTTACTTCGCTGTCTTTTTGTTTCTTTTCTTAAAAAAATTACACAGTACAATGGAGACACTCATTACACACACGCAGTCACCCCTATAAACGCACGCACGCAAACCCTACACCTATGAGCATCTTCTAAGATTGGACCGGCAAATCCTTCGGGATTAACGAAGTCACCACAGGCGCATTGCTGTCGACGGGTACGTCGCCTACCACTGAAAGCACAACACCGTTAAATCCTGAAAAATTTGCTCCCATGAGGAGTCAAACCCAGGAACTCAAGTGCTACTGAGGCTCTTGTAACCACTAGGCTACATGTGTTTAGAGAACGGCAAGAGTTATGCATGCATTTTTCTTTATAAAAAATATAGTATCTTCGAAAGACTTAGCCGGTATATTTTGAGATTGACGAAATCATCATAAACGTCTCGTCGTATATAAAGAATAGTGAGTTGTAAATTAACACGAGTACCCGTAAGTTTAGAACTTGAATATGAATGGATTGGTTTAAAAAAAAAGCCAATTGAGGCTTTGTTAAGAAAAAAAATGTATTTTTCATTTTAAAAATAAAGCTTCGCAACAAAAATATAATTTTATTTGTTTTAATACTTAATAGAATTTTTTTTGTCAACCTTTTAATCTAACTTTTATAAATATTAATTTTTTAAAAACTCTTATCCCATGCGGTGGAAATTGAGGTGGCAAAGAAAAGGTTGCACCCACGGTTAAATTCCGTGGTAATTCAGGGATTCGCGATGTCAATAATCATGGTGGTGCGTGGCATATTAAATCGCTATTGTCGCACAATAGGAAATCTGCTATTGTCCTTGTCAAAGCAACATTGAACTGCGGTCTCGTAGGATTATTTCCATGTGCCTTTGCCTTCTCAACCTATATAGTTTATCTTTTAAAGAGTAAATTGTATTGATATTACACAAACTTGTCAAGTGAGTTCACTTTAGTACACGAACTTATAAAATATTCGTTTTGGTGTATGAAGTTATCTGATACATGCAAAACAAGGCTAAAAGGATGTCACAACCATTTTTTAACAAGTTAGATGTTGATTAGGATGTGATGTGCACACACGAGATGAACATGATTTCAGCGTCCTTCGCATCATTTTTCGGTTTTTAATGTTCTTCTCCGTGTAATCTTTTGACCTTATTAAATATTTATATATATATATATATATATATATATATATATATATATATATATATATATATAGGACACTCATATGGGGCACCATGGTGCCCGGGCACCATGGTATCTAATGCACAAAATCACTCAAATTTTTTAAAATTTTCAAATTGTGAGTATATACCTAGTTATAATAATTTGATTCATACCTATACTTATCAACAAAACAACTCAAATTTAACTTTATTTCACAATCCATGATTACATACCTAACTAATTATATGTATGGATGCTATATACCTAGAATCAAAATCTAACAAAAACAAGTTCAAATTCAGTTCAAACTTGCTTTAAACTAGTTAGTAAAGTAGTTAACGTTAATACCTAGGTAATTGAAAAAGTTTCATACTTATTTGAATTGGGTATATACTCAATTTCAACAATGGTGCCCGGGCACCATGGAGCACCAAACAAATTTACTATATATATATATATATATATATATATATATATATATATATATATATATATATATATATATATATATATATATATATATATATATATATATATATGTGTGTGTGTGTGTGTGTGTGTGTGTGTGTGTGTGTGTACGTAGCATTCTTCTTATATACGTGTTTATGTAGAATCTTAATTAACACATAATTAGTAAGTGTAGTCTTGTTTTGTTCTTTTGATCTTAGTTGGTACGCACCTAATAAATTTGTATATCAAAATGAGTATTTTACAAAATTTGTATATCAAAATGAGTATTTTATAAATTTATGTACCAAGTACCTTGATGTACTACTTGATAAATATTAGATGGTTTGTATGTAATTGAAAAGGCCAAGTATCTTGCTCTTTTTTTTCTACACTGACGGATTAGCAATCAGTGCCATGCAGAGTTTTCCGGAGACGTCGGGAGCACTGCGCAAAACTAATGAAGATCCGGTAAATATTTTAAAAAATATTTTTTCTTTTAACTTTGTCAATGTATTCGGTGGTTTTTGTTACGACACCCAACGGTAAGCCAGGTACCAAAAACGGTAACAAACCCGGCTGCCATGCGACAGCTTCTTGGTTCTTGTCTCGGGTTGGTTTGATTTTGCTGAGCTTCACGTGTGGTGTGGTGTCGGGTGTTAGGTTTACGATCCCAATACCGTTCAAAAACTATACAATGATAAACTGGTAAAACCGATAAAATCCAAATAAATCTTGTTAAAAATCTAAAATGCAGTTTTTTTTTTTTTGAAAATGACCGGAAAAACCGAGCATTTGTGTTTATGACCCGGACAGGTTTCCACCGTACCAGAACTGTAAACACTGGTCAGCGTACCGGATCTGTAAACACCGGTCTGATGTCTGCGGGATAGCGCTGAAGAAAGTTGGACCCACTCGTCTCCTGCGCTAGTCCGACCAAAGGCCAATGTCCTTTACATTTTTTAATGTGTGTCCAATCTTGACCAAATCATGCTTATTAACGTATTCATGATTTGGATCCATGTGAACTTGATGGTCTTGGAAATCATGCAGGATGTGCAAAATCCCAAATATTTAACGAAGAAAAAAATTCATTTGTCAGGAAACACTAGTGGTATTATGCCATTCCCAGCCCAATGATTAGGATGGTGTCCATAGCATTAAATAAGCTGCTACCTAGTATGAAAAATGATGTGGCAAATGAATAAATGAGGAAAGAGAAGAAAACATGTCTTGCATGAGACATGGTTTCTACATAACATCCAAAACATAATGTGAGATACTCCCTCCATCCCATAATATAAGGGATTTTGACTTTTTGCTTATACTGTTTGACCACTCGTCTTATTCAAAAAAAATTTATGCAAATATAAAAAAAATAAAAAGTTGTGTTTAAAGTACTTTGGATAATAAAGTAAGTCACAAGTAAAATAAATAATAATTCCAAATTTTTTTTGAATAAGACGAATGGTCAAACAGTGTAAGCAAAAAGTCAAAATCTCTTATATTATAGGACGGAGGGAGTATCTCACACTATATTTTGGATGTTGTGTACAAACCATGTCTCATGCAAGACATGTTTTCTTCTCTTTCCTTATTTATTCACTTGACACATCATTTTTCATACTAGGTAGCAGCTTATTTAATGCTATGGACACCATCCTAATCATTGGGTTGGAAATGACCTAATACCACTGGTGTTTCCTGACAAATGAATTTTTTTCTTCGTTAAATATTTGGGATTTTGCACATCCTGCATGATTTCCAAGACCATCAAGTTCACATGGATCCAAATCATGAATATGTTAATAATAAGTAGCATTAAATTTAAGTATGGAATAGCGGGGCTTGATTTGAAAGATTAGTGTTTAGTACTAGTTTCTTGATGATGTAGAGTTTATGGAAATTTCTAGTGTCTTGGGTTGGGAATGGCCTTACGTGAAGTCATGGATGCACACAAAGGAATAAATCCTAGTGCCCACCAAGAACTACACTCAGGTTTTTAATATTGATGCCCACGAATATTACTCGTTCTAAAAAGAGACGGAGACTAACGTCAATTTCCTGCCAAACAATTTATTATACGAAAAGAAGCAATCTGCAGTTGCTACGTTTGAAATTGCTTCCAACACAAAGTAACCACGGTGAAAGCTGAAACAACCACCATATCGATTTGTTTATAGAGTGCATATACATAACATAAGAGAACAATCTAGGCAGTGTTGTAATATAACTTGCTGGGTTTTCTCTCTTTCTTTTTAAGTATGGCAATTGGCAAGAACAATAATAATTCAGCCAACATAATGGCAGAATGAAAGCAATGTACACTGGAAATCGCCATGAGTTATTGCATTGGAAGAACGTGTTCTTGCAGTCCATAAAATTAAGGAGCGCTACAGCTACTTGACATTCTTTTTCTACTACTGCCAGACTACATTAAGCTTCACAATGTGTAATAACCTGATGAAGGGAACCCAAAGTTGTGCATTGTAAGCTAACATATCATGCCAAGCTATGTTCGACCGTAGAACAATGGTAACTGTGTGACCTGGCAGACGTACCTCAAGCTGTTGAGATCTCCTTGAACTTCCCATCGTCTCCACTTGCACTGCCATTACCATTTTGAATAAGCTTCTCCTCTGAAGGTAGATTTTTCATGATTTTTCTAGTTGGTCCTGAAGCATTCCATAAGTACCACACACGCGATTTTGGAGGTGGCACAGCTCCTGCCAAAGGAGCAACCAACCCCGGCTTCCCTTCATCTATAACGCTGTCAACTATGCCATAATCCTTGGCTTCCCAAGGACTCATGAAATAGTCAAACTTTGTATCCTCATCAATCTAAAATAAACAGCATGCAGTAGATCAGAGAACAGCAAACTTTTGTGCTAAAGCAATACATCAGTAACAAGTTGTCAAGGAGTACCTGCTCTTCAGGCTTCCCGGTGATTCTTGACAGTATTTTGTTGATCTTTATCTTCTCATACATCATCTCTCGTATCTGTAATCCCATCTCTGTGACCTGCCAGATGGCACAAATTAACATATTCTATTGAAAAAAAAAGGATGACCCATTTCTGAAAGTAGCATTGCATTTCATGGTAGCACATATATTGCCATAGGGCACAATGGTCAGAAATTAAGCCAACCGAGAATTATTCTTTTCAAAAAGCAATATTGATAGTTATGATTTTAGTCTTAATATGATATTATCATATAAAATGGAGGTTATGATTTTATTTCAGGAGTGTTTGGTTGAAGCCAAAGCTTCCAATTGTTTCCCACGATTCCTTAGGCAATTTCCGAGCAAGTTCGTCTAGTAAAAGAGTTAAACAACATAAAAAAGCTTACCTTCCCACCAGCACCCCCTGATGGTTGATGGATCATAATTCTCGCATTAGGCATGCAAAATCTCTTCCCCTTTGTCCCAGCAGCTAGCAAAAATGCACCCATGGAAGCCGCCAGTCCAAAGCAGACAGTTGATATATCAGCCTTGCAAAATTTCATGGCATCATAAACTCCCATTCCTGTATATTGATGTGGGCATGTTTATTGCATCATACGATACCAGTATGGCAGCATTAACACAAAACTAAATATTTCTCTGGTGATCGGCATAAAAGTTATCAAGAATAATTGTACATTCAGGAACATGAGTCCAGTTCAGTTTAGGCAGTTGGACTTTAAAAACTCAAGTACAAAGAGCCTAAAACGGTAAGGGGCTTAAAAGGGTCAAATATAAAAGAAACAGAGCTGATTGAACTGACTAGGTTTTGGTGAACTTGAGTGAAGCAGATTGGGAAGACAGTAAAAGATTTAAGCCACTATATTGGAATTATGTTACAAGATGGATTCACTTTCATATTTCAGTAAATATTCTAGATGTTTTGAGATATTCTGCAATTTATTCCCAAGTTTGCATGGATTGGTGATAACGAACTGATAAGATTGGGTTCATATCAGAATTAAACATGTACAGCAATGTGGCACAAACAGTGAACAGCCCCCAGTGTCTCCTAAAGGCATAAGGTTTATCAAACACAGGTTATATAATATATAAAATCATGATTTTCATGGAGATATTGCACAACATGCATAAGATCCAATCTAAGGTGCTGAACCTGAAACCATTTATCACTGTTACTGTTGAGCTCGGCACTGTACACTGTTCACTCATGAACAATCTCAGGAAAGTTAAAGTTGTTCTATTGCTGACATTAAAGCGCTTTAGAATGATTATGAATGCAGATCCTAGGTATAAAAAAGAGACTCCACAAAAAGCATGTGTAAATCTTGAAACGAAAAAAGAGAACAGATTATTAAACTTCAGGTTTAATTTTCTTGTATTTGATGAACTTGTACAGCACCTTTTCAGTATGTATGAATTTGGTAAATGCATCAGCAAAAAGTATGCAGCATAAGACTTCACTAGAGAGAAAATAGGAGCTTTTTTCAAATTCCTAATGTTGGAGCACGCATTTCCTTATATGCAAAACATCGTATTGCATATAATTGGCTTGGATAGTTATCAAGTTGATGCCATTATCATGTAGCATAAAACTTATCATTTTGTTATTGCCAGATTATCATCAGCATATTTGACACACCAAAGATTAAAAGGACAGGTAAAGAATAAGAAATCAAAATTATGCAGAAAATATAAATTAACTAAACAAAAATCAAAATACAGTCCATCAGTTCTACATTTCATGTGCATGTTTAGTGTTTCTATTACACAAGACCTGTCCAACGAAAAAAGTGAGTATAGTTATTTTTCGATTTCTGAACCATGGCTGTGGTTTAAAAGTTCTATCAGAGAAGTTGAACTTGAATTGATTTCGTTAACTAATTCTTGATTCATTCCCATAATCTATGTGCACTGAGTGGTATGTCACATGCACCATTTAGAGCTCACAAGATTTCACTCATGTGTTTTCACAAGGTTTCGCTGGAATTTCAGAACACCCCGTGATGCAAAGTGAAATTTATTTCAACATATCCTGGTGCAAAACATGGCATAAAACGAAACAAAGCGATCTTCAACATGAGTAAAGTGCAATTTTCTCCAAGTAATATAAAGAACTCATAGGCAGATATGTAGACCAGAGACATTTGTAACTGAATGCATCACCAATGCCGCATAACCCAATCAGATAAGAGGCCAGTTTATTATATACAAGGACCCTTAAATTGACACAGCAAAATGCCAAAACCAACACTACTTTATATGCCACTGCCTTTTGAAAAATCAAAATCTTACCCTTCTATCTACTTGCTACTATTGTAAATTCCATTTGATTACCAATGTAAGGGGAATGGTATCTGCGTATTCTTCCTCAAAATTAGCAAGAAAATCTTCTTTTTAAAGTCAACTCGGCCAAACAGCCAACCTTGGTCCTGTTAATCAGCGAGCTTGGTATCATAAATCAGTTCATTCACATGTAAACTTGTTATTCTTTCTGTTTTGCAGCCACCTTAGAATCCACTAGATTAAGGGCACAAAGACACATTATACCTGAGCCAATCAATGATAAAACTGAACTCTTCCCACCCCAAAAGGAAAAGAAAAGAAAAGAAAAAGAAACTCGGAACTCATCATCTACCACAATAACAGGATGAACTGATGCCCTCCATTGGAGAGGAAGAAGAAAGATGTAGGACAGAATGTCATGTGCGGCTGGCCAAATAAAAAAGAGGGTATATAGTATAGTCAGGACAAAATGATCTTTGCACAGCTCCATCACTGCTTGACTAACAGAAATTGGGAAATAATAGCGAATAAGGTAAAGGCTCTTGATAAAAAAGAAGGCAAAATTTGGATAGTCAGGGCAAAATGATCTTTGCACAGTTTCATTACTGTTTGACTAACAGAAATCAGGAAATAGTAGCAAAAAAGGTAAAGGTTCTTAAAAATCATTGGCATTTAAGGTTAGATAAATCTTGTAGTGTTACAGCAAAGGATCCAAAACTTTTCATCAAATATAATCTGCAAGGCATTTACGTTACAAGATACTTAAAATGAAGTTAGTCAATTTCTCTCTATCAACACAAAGAGCACAAGGCACAAGTTATTACAATAAGAGGTTGAGAACACATACCTGCTGTTATGGAGCCTCCAGGTGAGTTAATAAACAATTTGATGTCCTTAGTTTTATCCTCAGCATCCAGCAGCAAGAGTTGGCTGATGATAAGATCAGCACTCATATCATCCACCTAGTCAGCACAAGGCATTGAAAACAATAGATACATTATTTTGCACAGTCAGTTATGGCATAATAAAAGTGCTATTTATTACACAGAACAAATATTTTCATTTGTGTACACAATACAGTGACATGAAATTTGTTCAGAGAACAGTACCATGAAGGTGAAGCATAGTGCTTGATCAGTGGGCAAATCATTAATAAACCGTCAGATTGTAATGTCAAGAAAACATGATATAACAAGAATGTGTTAGTTCAAACAGAAAAAAGTGTTCCCTGAAGTCACTTCTGCTAATTATTCCTACCAAAATAATATGGCCCATACAACAAGGAAAAGAAAGTAAAACGACATACGACTCAGGAAAGAGTTTGATTCTGACCCTAACCATCTCAAGCATTTAGGCTGTGTTCGGAGCTCCAAGTTCCCAACCACTCTCCCTCGTTTTCCGCGCACACGCTTTTCAAAATGCTAAACGGTGCGTTTTTTGCAAAAAAATTTCTATACGAAAGTTGCTTAAAAAAATTCAAATTAATCCATTTAAAAAAAAATAGCTAATACTTAATTAATCACGCGCTAATGAACCGCTCCGTTTTCCGTGCGGGGAGATGGGTTTCCAACCCCAGTATCCAAACACAGCCTTAGTTTGTTCAAGAAGATGCAACATTACCAAGGTGACATCTAATCATTCAACAAACAGCACTCATGTAAATGTAATTCTCAGCATGAAAGATTCTTGATTCACAAGGTTGGCAAAAAGGAAACAAAATATATCCCATTTACATATCTTATGCACATTCTGAGCTAGAAAAAGTATTAAGAAAAAAAAAATCAAGATGGGAACAACTAGAACAATTTGGACAACAGCAACAACAGAATATCACATAATGTATACTAGAGGGTGATCATAGCATGCCATATAAAATCTTGGATGCCCATTAAGTGTTACTAAAATGCTTCTAGTTCTTTGCAAACTACATAAGTTTGAGACAACATAAGTTTATATAAGTCAATACACTTTTACCACACGCATATAAGAAGCCATAATCCTCAAGGAAACAAATATGTGACAATGGGCATACCAAAGAACATATTGGGCTACATTTTGGTTGACATAATTGAATTGCAAATCTTTCTTATTCCTAAACTAGTGCATTTCGTTTTTTTTAAAAAAAAATGGCGAGGAAATTACACTTAACTTTTTTCACACCATAAAATTCGCAAACATTTCGATATTAATAATTGAACAAGAACTGCTTAATGGGTAATAACAACACACACAGTGCGATTTGGGGGGGGGAAGAAGAAAAGGCTAACCGGGGAGCCGAGGAAGACGATGCGCTGGCGAAGGAGCATGTTGGTGGTGTCCAGCTCCTCGAGGCGCGGCTTCCTTGCCGCAGGCCGAGCCGCCGACGGCCCGGGAAGTTCCCACGCGGAGGAGAGCGTCCGCCGTGCCGCCGACGCCGATGCGCGGACCGTAGCTCTTGGCGCCGCCTTCCAGCAGCACGGGTTGGGAGCGAGGAAAAGGGACGACGGGGACGAGGAGGATGAGCAGGGAGAAGCGGGGAGGGCCGCCATGGCTGCCGCTGCCTCCATTTCTTGGCTCGCGGCTGCTTCTGCTGCTGCTGCCTGCTAGTGTGTGTTATCCTGCGCAGGGGTTTGGAGAAGGAACAGATTGGGGACGAGAAGATGGGGCCCAGATGCCAGCGGCTCGCAAGACTTGTACTACTCCATACTCATAAAAGTGACAATGTTTAAGTCAAACGTTAATAACTATCAAGTTGTTGTTGAGTTTAAAAATATAAAAATTATATGTATAGATTTGTATTGAAAAATACTTTCATAAAAGTATACATATATCACTTTTCAATAAATATTTTTATAGAAATAAGAAGTCAAAGTTGTGTTTTGGAGATCGTGTCGCTGTCCTAAACGACTTCCTTTATGAGTATGGAGGGAGTACAGTGCAGTGAGAAATGAGACAACTCTATCCCCTAAGGTCCCTCAACTTGTCATCGGGATACGAACCGTAAAACTAGATATGCGGGATCCCTCAACTATATAAAACCGGTCACCCGAGGTCCCTTGGTGGTTTTCAACCCGGTTTTGTCCGACGTGATAGCTGAGTCAGCATGGGACCCACATGGGCCCCACATGTCAGCTGGCCACGTCATACCCTCTCCCCTCCTCTCCTTTTCTCCTCTCTCTCTCACTCTTCTCGTCTGGGTAGGCACTAGTCAACTAGGGAGGACGGCGGCGGCTACTGCCTTCGGCGGCGGCTACTGCCTTCGGCGGGGAGAGGTGGGAGAGGACGAGGGCGTCGGTGGCCGGCGACAGGCGACACGACGGTGGTGACTAGCGACTGGCGACGCTCTGCCGCCACTGCTCTCGCCTGCCGTTGCTGAGGCCGCAAGCGCGAAGGCGCATGCTCCTAGACTTAGCCCATATCCGTGAATGACACGATCACGACGTATTATGCATATCCACGGTTTTGATTTATCAGCTAAATAAGCTTGCTTATCGATCAAATTAAAGAGATAAGCTGGGGTTTTGATTTATCTGAACGACTTCTGCTGGTCATGCGTGCGGAGGAAAAGGCAGTTCCAAACCCGGCAACATAGGAACAAGTTAAATTATTGTCACCGGACTATGGCACAGCAACAAAACGAACTAACAAATCAAGTTTATCTCTATCTATTGCTTCTTATCTGCAGGAAAATCGGAGGAGGTCGCTCCAGCGTATCGCAACGGCGGACACGCGGTGTGCGGCGCGGCACCGACCTCGTAGACGTTATTTTCCACCTTAAACAAGGACGTAGTCGGTGAGCGAGAAGACGCGCGTGCGCTTCGGCGCCGCTGCCCAGGTTCGCCATGGCTTGCAGACCGATCGTGTTTTTTCATTCAAAACGAAAGCAGGAGGGAGGAAGAGAGGGATGGCTGGGGGTTACCTTTTGGTGAGACGAGGGAGCGTCGGCACCTCTGGTGTCGTCATCGTCGCCGCCGCGCCGGAGAAGAGGGAGACGGGGGGTTGGATTTGGAGGCAAAGGAAAAGGGGCTATTGGAGGGAGTCGGAACGAATCGAGGCTGCCGCCGTGCTCCCCTTCTCCCTCGTCGCCGTGTTTCCCAGCTGCAGCTACCGCCTCCGGGCGCCGGCCACCGTCGCGTCACCGGCCACCGAGCGCCACCCTCCTCTCTCCCGCCTCGCTTGCTGGCCTCCCGCCGCTTTGCCTCGCCCAGAAAGAGAGAAGAGGAGAAAGAGGAGGGTGATGACGTGGATTACGCTGACATGTGGGGACCACGTGGGTCCCACACTGACTCAGCCGTCACGTAGACTGAAACCGGAGTCAAAACCGTTGACGGATCTTTTGTGATCGGTTTTTATTAGTTAAGAGACGCGGGATATCTGGTTTTGCGGTTTGAGGATGATTTTGTATCTCGATAACAAGTTGAGGGACCTTGGGTGTACTTTTTCCATTGCTAAAACACTGTCGCAGGCTCAAAATCCGGTCCACACCAATGGATTGGGCCATTGGGGTTGAGGCCCATCCAAACGATAATCATACTTGGGATTTTTAAAATTTTTCTTTTTTATTAAAATATTAAAAATATAATTTTTGTTTGACAAATTAAATATCTAGAGGAAAAAATCACCCTTCCATATAGCGTTAAGGGGTCTAAATGTAAATTTTTTAATTTATATACAGACTCGTTTTAATTGCTCAAACATTTTTAGAATAGTGTCAAGTCAAACATTTTTAACTTTGACTATTAATAGAAAAAAATAAAAATGATCTATCATGTAAAATTGATGTTATTATATATTTATCATTAAACAAATTATTATAATTGTGGGTTGTCATTTGAAGCTTGTTACTCATGGAGAGTGATCTCATAGACGGTTGGTGTCACCCACAAGTTTCCGTCAAGGTTGTGAATTGACCCGGGCAAGTTTGTGAAAGTATTCCTCACCTCCACAAGGGAACGAGGTAAGTGAGTAAAAAAAGTTGTGCTGAGGTCTCAGAGGTAGCCCTAGTAGAGCAATCCTCACTTTTAGTTATCTCTAGAAGGTTCTGTTGGATCTTGGTGGTCACTCGACTTATAGAGAAGGACCTAGGAGTGTTAGATTGAAGGTTGTGGTCCTCTTCTTTGATCTTTGCACAAGTGAGGCAAGGTGTTAATCTCAACGGCGAGTAGGATCCGTGTGATTCGAACTTGGGGAAAAAAAATTCTGTCTCTTTTGTGAATGCTCTGTGCTTGCCCTTATGTTCTATATACTCCTCTAGTCTACTGTGAATCATATTGGTTGAATAGGGCCTAAAGTTCTTTTTGATTTGGAGTTGTTTCTATGTTTTCATAGTTACCCTTTGAACTTTAAAAGTTCCGGGCTACCTTGAGCTACCAGAAAGTTTCGGTGTTCATCACCAGAAAGTTTTGGGCCCTGTTTAAATTTAACCGTTGCGATTATTTTTAGTGTTTTTAAGGAAAACCTATTCACTCCCTCATTAGACTACATCTTCAGCTTTCACTTCCTTATCTCTCTCTCTCCTTCCTTTCTCTTTTCTCTCTTCTCCGGCGAGGCGTGCGAGCCGTGAGCGGTGGCGTGACCAGCAGGCAGAGTGCACGGTGATGATAGAGGTGGCGCACTGTGATGACAAGGTCTTAGGACGGCATCGTGTGTCTCTCCACTAGATGGCCCTCCCCAAGTCACCATCACCCCGATCCACTCGGCTCGCCATCGACATCACCGACTCGGATGGTCCCATGCGACGCCGTAATCAGATATGTTCACAACATGCCCGACCCAACGTCGACGAATGTGCACCCGATCTAACGCCAGCGAATCGCAATGGCTGTGCCCAACGCCCAATCCGAAGAAATCTGCTCGCATGGGCCGTCCCCGACTCCAGATCAGTTGCTCTCATCCGTTGCCACCATCGTCACATTTGCTCGCGCCATTGTCGTGGACGGCACATTGCTCATTGCTACCCTTATGCTGTTTTTTTCCTTTTAATGCATTTTTTACTCCAAATTCATCAATTGTATGTAATTTTACCAATTCATCAATTATGTGTAATATTTTTACTCAAGATTGAACAATGGTGTTTGTTTGTTGTCGGGGGAAGAGAGAAAAGAGAGGAGGAGAAAGGAAGAGGATGAGGAGGAAGAGAACATGAGCCACATGCAGCTAGCCTAAGCAAAACATACATGGGTAATTTTGATCATGCCATGTAAAAAAGTGGACCCCTCTTGCCTCGTTAGCATGAAAATATTAATTTAATGGGCATGGTGTCTCATGACAAATAACTACATTTCTAGTGTGCTCCTCTAAAAGTGACATTTGTGTGTTGTACTATAGCTAAAACCACAAAGTCGCGATGTCCTATAGCAAAATTTGTCAAAATAAAAAAATCAATCCTTTCTTGCTGATATGGGCAAATTGGTCTTATCTGTCTACAGCTTACGAGTTAAAGATTTGCTCCGGTCCAACAAAAAATGCAACAAAATTGTTTCCGATCGTTGGATCTCACAGTGTCCATCCTGCCCAGTTAGATCAAACGATCCGAAATGATTTAGTACCGTGAAGTACTGGTACATTGAAATATTTTTTACTAGACCGGAGCAAATCTGTACGGGTTAATATGTACATGGAGTTAGCTGGTCGTGTTGATGCAACAATAATTTTAGAACAGGGGCCATTTTCCCGTGCTCAAAAAGATAAGATGAGATGTTCCCGTTCCAAACTAGACAAAAGATGTGATTAGGTAGAAGGCCACACAGTACATGACACTGACAGGGATTTTTTATTCATATCATCATAGAGAGCTTACCTAGCGGTTCAACCAAACAATTGATTGATTAACCCCGCCCCTTCACCCGGCCTAGCTACCGCTCCAAAAAAGACCAATTCAATCGACAACAGACGTGTCGTTTCTAGTTCGTACACGTAATCACAATTCAGAACACGTAGCCACAGCTCTAGCTTTCACTCTCTTTATGCAACTATTTTAGTAATAATCCAAAACAAAGCACGTAGTACTACATAACATATGGCCATAATATACACAGTAGCTAGACACCTCATCTCTATGCAGGCTTAACGCAGTAGTACACATCAACCAAGCAAGCTAGCTAATTAAGCAAGCATGTTGCCGGCCGGCCGGAGAAGTCGCCGGAGTTGTAGTATATATATGGATTATTGGTTTTACATGATGGAGCAGGAGTCGACGTTCTCGTCGCTGAACATGGTCATGTAGCGGACCTCGGGGGCGGAGGGGTCGGCCATGGCGGCGGGGTTGCCGCGGACGAAGCCGGCGGGGGCCTTCTTGTCGTAGGCGCCGCCGACGTACGGGTAGGTGGTCATGGTGTACGGGACGTAGGGCCACATCTCCGCCGCCTTCCCGGTGCTCTTCACGCGCTCCAGCACCTTGCTCGCCTCCACGTACCCGGTCACCGTGCACCGGCTCTGCTTCGGGTTCACCGCCACGCTCGTCACCCCTCGCATCGACTTCACCGCGTTCTTCACCCTCCTCTCGCACCCCTCGCAGTCCATCTTCACCTTGATGTTCACCGTCTACACACACATATTGTATAAGCAAAAACACATCACCAAATTAATTAATGAAGAAGCACAAGAACTTCACAAATTAATTTATCTCTGTGCTTAATTAGCCAACGAAATTTGAGCAAACATGCATGCATGTAGTATATATAAATCGATCAAGATCGAGAAAATTAAAACACCTGCAGTGGCCGCTTCTTCCTTAGCTTGAGGGCTTCCTTGGTCTCTGTCAGGCTGCACATATCAGAGAGGCTGTCCAATACACCCATGGTTGCTCTCTGTTACTGCACCGGCAACCTGATCTTGCTCGCAACAAGCTAGCTAGCTATGGAAAGAGTAAGCTAGGCTAATTATTTGCTGCTTGAATCAATCGAGTGAGAAAGAGAGTACTTGGTATAGCTCGTGGGTGCAGAATTGTGGGGGAAGCCGGGAAGGACCATTTATATAGAGAGAGAAAGTTTCACCCTTTGTAAGCAAAAAAAAATTTAAAAAAAAGGAAAAAGGAATAAGAAGAAGAGGAGAGGATGGATCATTTATACGTACAGTGTGGCTGGCACTCACTGGCTGGCTGATTTTGTATGGTTAGGATGGATGCCAGGTTTTTCTTCTTATTTTGTTGGTATGGTCGCCTCGTATTGATGCTTGAAGGTTACACTAAACGATTGGGAGAACCACTGAGCCTTCAAATTAAATGGCTGAGTTGGGAAAAACATGATATCCTTCCTGCTGGTGCCTGGATGGCGGGTTCACATCCTCTGCCATTAAGGCCAAAGGCAAAGTTTGCCGTTGCTGTCATCCATCTCTTATTCTAAGAGAAAATTAGAACCATGCCATTATAAATTTGTAAAATTTGAGATATGTCATCTTAACCCACATGTCATTAACTCATGTGGGTCCTACATGTCATTGAGATACCGATGACATATCTCAAACTTTACAAAATTATAATGGCATGGTTCCAATTTACTCCTTATTCTACGGCTCTGCATGTTTTTCCCAACTTCAAAATTGATTAACAGCCAATTAATTAATGAAATCAGTTGTGCTGGACCAATTTAAAAGACAATTGATTGATTGTTGGTATTGCTACACGTACTTAAAAAATCCTCACAAAACTTCCGGCTACCTTTTAATTTAACTATTTCTAGAAATCTATATTTGCTCACACCATGTCAAATATGTGTTTATAAAAGTTTTATAAGAGCGCTTTTTCCTATAGCCTTTTCTAAGGAATAGCTGTGCCTATTACTTTTCTTTTGTCAAAACAACAAAAATATAGTCTTGTACAATGAAATTTTCATTGTTCCCCTGAATGAATCGATACCAATGGTTCAAAAAGTGAAGAGTGTGTCGCTAGTTTTTTTTTCCTGCTTTGCCTCTGGCGATTGTTTTCTTTACATTTCTGTAGAGTAAATTCTACCAAATTAGCTGGTAGTAAGTCACGGAAGGACCTGACGGTTGATCGAGGGATGGAGGGTGTGGATGGCAGCAACGGCATACATTGCCTTTGGCTTCAAAAGCAGAGGATGTGAATCCCTGGATGGCCCATGCGCCATCATTCATAGGCCGGTCGGTCCATGCACTAGCTAGCTGAATTATTGTTGCTCATTGTTTAATTTCATAATTTTTTTTGGTGTCGTTTTAGGGGAGTTTAGATATTTGTTTTGGCCGTGGAAAAGCACACAGTCGATTGGCATTTTTTTTTCTTTCTTTCAAATTCTTGCCGTCCCTATTTGAGTGTCGGAATTAAATGCTTGGTCTTTTCTTCTTCTTCTTCTTACTTTTTTGTTTGCGAGGAGTATTCAAACGTTTCATATAAATTCACAATTTGGATGCTTCAGTTTGTTATGTGCGACGACACACCCATATAAAATTATAGAATTCTTCCTCTTTTTTTTTTGGCGTTGATCAGAAGCTTGTCTCTTGTTAATTAGGTTGCTGCGGGGGTCATCAAGTTGTTACACATTCAAGTGTTAATTTGTCAGGAGATAGAACAAATTACGTAGTATATATTCGAAGTGTGATATATTACAAAGCCTCCTCAACGGCCAAAAACAAAAACATATAATCTGTTTTTTATTTCAGCTTAGCAGCATGCGTCATCATTCATATGATTCGATTTTATTTCAATTACTTCAAGGAAAACATGAATATACTACCATTAAAAAACATATTTAATATCTTACAAATAATTAGATGTGAGACAATAACCATGTACTAACTTTTCTTATTGATTATAACAGTGTAAACATTATGATCCATTTAACAAGTTTGTGAGGTCCACTAGTTTGGGGACAACTGAACCTCTGCAATAACGCTAGGTGTCCCGACTGTGACATTCCAACGCAGCAATAAAAAATAAAATAAAATAACCTTCTGAATGAATTGCTTTCCATCGGATCTTGTTCCTTGGATCATTCTGAAAGATGTCCCTGGTTTCTCTCTCCTAGTTTCAGCAATCTAATCCTGAACTAGATCTTGATGCATGTTTCTAATTAAGACTAGGAAAGTTAAGTAGCTAATGTACTACAAATATATAAAGTGATGGTACCTTAATCCTTGATATTATAACTTTAGTGATAGTTTAGTTACAAAGGGAGATGGATCTGCCGTAGCCAACAATTGTTCGTCTTGTGAATATAAACTTTACCAGTACAGTGATTGCTTTTCATTTTCTTTGGGTTCATTTCACGGCGGAGTTGTTTTCAATCAGCACGCACGCAAGGTTCTTCTTTGCAATGTCTTTGTACACCTGTCCCACTATATACTCGTATCTACTTTCGCTGCTTTTGCAATTTTAAACCTTTATTCACAATTGAATACTTTCTGAACCTAAAGAAAATGGGCTTAAAGTTCTCGAGAAGCTACTTATTTGCTAAGTTTTCTCTCATAGCAATTCTACGGTTTTTGAGGAGGTACCATGAGGTACCAAAAGTTTAGTGTAAAATTTGGTAGCTTATGGTACCTCATAGTACCTAGGTATTAAGAGGTACCAAATTTATAATAGAAAAAATGGTACCTCATGGTACCTACTCAAGGATCGTAAAATTGCTCTTTCTCTGATGTTGAAATCCAACTAGGGAACATTTGGAAGTGAGGGGTGCCAATCCTATCGAAATTTTCGAAGAAAAAGGAAAACATACATGCAAAACGGATTAAGATTGTTAATTGTTGATGTCTCAAACGGATTAACATTTGTGGAGAGAAATTCTAGAGTGAGCAGCAAGTACCATTTCTTCAAGGCACTCGCGTTGGGCATATAAATTTGAGGATAGGATTCTGGATTCGCATATCGTTCTATTTTAATTTTTAGCTGGGAATTAGGCCTTGATTAATTTAGTGTACATGCGTAGCAGATTGTAAATCATTGTAAGAGAGGGTTAGCTTCTGCTATTTGTTGGTAATATGGCTGAGTAGAAACGATGGTTTTTGATGAATCACCATTATTTTCCTATATGCAGGTCATTTTCAGAGTAACTCATTGGCTCCGGTCTTAAGCACAACTACAAAGGTGTGATGAAGATGAAGAGTTTTCTAAAAGTTGCATGTCGAAAGTTGGAGACTACGATTATATAACTTTTTGTCAATTATGGTTGGAGATTTACAAATAGACTTTAATAATTGTGATCTCCTATGTTAGGCTGGATTCTTTGTTTTTCTTTACGGTGTGTCCTATTTATTTAGATTTACATTATGTTCTTGAACGCTTATATATATTAATTGACTATAACTCTTTTGAGTAAAGGCCGAGATATTATATTTCATTATTAAAAAACAGAGAGTTAGCACGACTTAGGGGGTGTTTGGGAGAGAGGGAAAAATAAGTCTCCTCTCTCCTAAACAACCCCTTAAATTAAGTGACTGAGAGAGTACATACTTTCCGTTATGCATGCACGCATATTTGTTGTGTCGGTATAAATTAAAAATAATAAATATCCATGATACCACATGATTGGTTTAATTTGCACCTGATTTTGTTCTTTTAGGCGTCCAGAAAGTTGTGCCAGGTTTTTCTTTCTCCGAAGCAAAGCAAAGCTCATTCCGATATATTCCAATAGCGATTCAAAGTTATTCTTGAAAAGTGAAGCACTGTGCTTAGACAGATGACATCTAAATTCTTGACGATTGTCCACTCCAGCAAGGGACAAGAATCTGCCATATAGCCACCTCTCTTTCTTCTGGAGTGGGAAAAACTTTTGTAGACCGATCATTGCATTGCGTCTTTGGGTGTGAGCACGGGGTGGCCTAGTTTTTTCTTGCTCTGGGCCTTGTCCTTCAGCAATCACTTTACACAGCCATCCCTCTTGATGATCTATCATATTCTCCTTTATTTTGCACCGTATATGTGCATGACTGTTGGGAATTAATGTATATTCTCCTTCCATCATTAAGTGTCTATGTGAGGATTTTTTTTTCTTTCAAGATAAATAATAGGATATTAGGTTCCAACATGATAGCACAAAATAGTAATAATAAGTAGGTCGGTTGGAAAACAGCCTCAACTATTTCCGTAACCATATTTCTTTTTAGAAACGAAATAAAAGACGATAGAATTGGAAACAAAAAGTGTTGAAAATATTTGAAAATAAAAAACAAAAGTACATGAACAAAAACATACTAGTATCGATAGAAAATCAATAATTAGTACTGAATATATTGAACTTAAAATCATGTATTAAACTTACAATACAATATGATATGACCGATTAAATTCATATGTACCTTCCCAGAATATAAGTCATCCATAATTATGGAGAGTCAATTGTAACTTTTAACTAATAATTCAACTAAGTAATAATATGTATATTTAATTTAATGCATGTGGTGCCATTATATTCGTATATAACATTATGTTAATATTATAGTTGTTCATCCCCATCGTTTGGCTTATTTTTTGAATAAGCCAAACGGCATATTTTCAAATGAAAAATATTTTATGAATAAAACTTTTATATACGTGTTTTTAGCGATCTAAAAGCAAAGGCTGGAAAATAAACTTCGATGAAAAAAAACCCAAAATCAACTCTAAATTTAAGGTTAAAAATTTAAATTTTGGCTGATAATCATAAGCATAATAGCGAAAAAATGAGGCCCATTGATAATATACTATAAAAAACCTAATGGCCAGTATAATTTTGAAGACCGTGTAAAAACATGCACTCATTACATCTTCTTTTGGAATGGATAGAGCAAATTATAAACTCTCATTTAGGCATGTACTCGAATTAGGGATTTGGTTGAGATTGATAGGCATGTAAAATATGGGCCAAATAGAGACATGGACCATACATAATGGGGTATTTGAAAAAACATAATTGTCGTATTATAAACATGGTAATTTCCAAAGCGTTTTTTTTAAGAAAGACATTTGGCGCGCTTTATTGGTATGAAAACATAATTAGATCATTTGCTCGAACGTTTAGCAAGAAGCTAGGGGATTCAACCCAATTACAAGAATTCTTTGAGATGAAAGCATGTCTAGCTAACTCATGTGCTA